GCTCAGGGGAGTTAAGCTATTTCCCAAAGCCACACCTCCAGAATGTGGTTGAGCAGATATTGACACTGGGCGCTACCTGACCCCTAGCTAGGACCTTTACCACTGCCCTGTGTCATTGCACTAGAATCTCTCCTGGCTTGGGGGCCCTGGATCCAGACCACAGAGAGCAAGAGAGGGGAGGGAGAAGGCAGGGGGCACATGATGGGCCTCCAAACACAAGACAGGGACTCAGTGCTACCAATTTCTCAGCAGCCCCTGGAAGCTTGACAGTAGACAGAGGGAGCAACTATGACCCCTCATTCACCTGCTGTGACCCTGCCCCAGCCCACACTGCCTTCTCTCCCTGCCCTGTGCCATGGTCACCTCAGATGGGAAGGAAACTCGGTGCTTTGCCAACATCATCTCATCCAATCTTGAGGACAAAGGTACACGTGGGGCAGGTACTATTATCCACAGTTTACAGATGAAAACACTGAGGTCCAGAGAAGTGACCCAACTTGCCAACACTCTTAGTAAGTGGCAGAGTCAGCATTTGATAAGAGGCAAAAAGTCGGAAGAGACATGGGCTAAGGAAAGATCACAGGGCAGAGAAACATACAGGCTGAGAGAGTCACACAGAGGCAGGCCAGGGCTGGAAAGAGGGGGTAGGTGAGGGGCGCAGAGGTTGCCAACCTGGTGAAACCAGGATAAGAGAGTGCAAGGGACAGGGAGACAGGGAAGGGTGCAGGACACACAGGAGGTCAGGTGGAAAAGTACTGTCTCTACCTCCTGCCCTCATTCTGGGGAAGGTAAACCAGGGAGTTCTGAGCCATGTAGAGGGAAGAAGGGGTCACCTGTCAGAAGTGAGGGGCCTGCTGAGCCTTCACACTAAACAGGGGCTGCCAACGGGAACTCCCTGAGATGCCAGATGGGCTGAGGGCACTGACTATGCCCAGAGGACAGGTTGTCCAGCAACTGCCCTAAAGACTCAAGGCCAGGCTCGGTGCCTATAGCTCAACCGGCTAAG